TTGATGTCATGGGTGACATCAAAGGAGGAAACTTCCTCCTAGCATCCACACCAACTCTTTCCAACAACTCTTCCAATTGGCATGTCATTGTTAACTAAACATAAACCAACATTTTCACTGTTTTTCCCTTAATTATATGTATAAACACAAACTCCTAGCTCTAACTATTTCATTTGATAATAAGTAATAACAATATAAAACAACTTGGAAACAAAATAGAGGTCCGGAAAAAAAAAGCCACTTGATCACGTTTGAGTTTCACTCATGCTTTGAGCGCAAAGAATTTAATGCTAACACTCCTTCCACATGGGTTTGATACCGCAGTGATAGCTAAATTGATGTGTCTGTACTTCTCAACATTCAGACAATACAACAACTAGTACTACTATGCACGAACCCAACTTACCCAAGCAAGTTGGGGTTAGCTATATAACCTCAATGACCATGTCGCTCTAATTAATCTCATCATAGACCTATATTATACAATAATAAGTAATACCAATAAAGTACTAGAAGTTCTCTACATTTTTTATTGACATATGATTAAAAGACTCTAAAAAACATAAAACCTGAAGTACATGTACTAACATGACTAAAACCTAATGTCAACTAAAAGAAATCGACCTATGCAGGTCTTTTTCTTCCCGTATGCCCTATTTTTCGCTAGGTTTACGTGAATTGCAAAAGATTGCAAGTCTTTCGAAACAACTTATGTGATTTTAAGTCTACCTCATCCCCTTATAATACATTTACTCACTATGCCATCATATTTATAGATCGGTGCATCTGGTCGTCGACACAGGACTTGAACAATCTATCTCAAGTGGCGTTCCCTCATTTTATCCTCAATGTGTGCTACTTGCACCTGCTGTTGAACGTGGTTATTCTAATCTTGTGTGACTGCAATCCATCTTAACATGCGCACCTCAACGACATTTATAATATGGATATGTTGGACTTTAGAGCTCATGACCCAATACTACCTGGTTTTGGGAGTTGGTATTATGCATCGCTGTTTTGGCTTATGTTGATTACTATTTCCACTATTTATGATAATTCAGGCTTATTATATCATGCTTTGATGATAGGATGTTATTAGTGTGATTGGCTTACTTAGTCTCGGAGGTTAGGTGTCATCCCGACCTTTGGTTTATTTGGATTGTGACAATTATCTAACCAATATGATAATTAACCAGACACAACTAACTCTAGTTATACTAACTAACTCAGGTTACACCTCCTTCAATAGAAAATATAAGGTAAAGAAGTTGAAATATATCCTGTTAGCTTCCACCCTATGCATAAGTCTTGTTCTGGTGCTCTATTCTCACATAGCAATTGAAAGAAAGAACAAACCAGTCTATGAACTTTAGCCAAAGCCATTGCCTGCTAAGGCCAAACAACAAACCCAGTGAATTCCCACAAGTGGGGCAGCTAAGGTCATTATGTACATTACCCGATGAACAAATACAAACATAGCTAATGGGCCTCTAATCATCAAATTAAAGAAATATGGGTCATACTAAACCTAACTGTAGAGCACGGAAGACTTCAACGACATAGTAATAATTTTAGCACTCCCAAAGATAAAAACTTGAACTGGTCATCCCAAGCATTGCGGCGCAGAAAATCATCATTTTGCATGATTACACCTGCCGTAAATGTGTCACAAATTCATTTAGCAAAAAAGAAAAGAAATCGAGAACCCCACTCTACCTGATCCAAGCAAAAACGACAAGAGCAGTGTTCCAGTGGACTGTAGTACGCGACGCATATCCGCTCTGAACAACAGCAAGGGAACAGCAAGTGGAAGCAAGAATCCTGTTACAATTTTATATGCAGGCGCTTCACAAGCTATAATGCCCAAGTTACTTGCTGCAAGACCAACCAGTGTACTTACTAGTGCACCACTTAGTGCACCCCCAAACTTGGTCTTCTCCGACCTTCAATTTTATAAACCAAATATCAACAAACTGTGTAACATAAAATCTTGACACCTCAACTTATTCGCCCAATGATTCTATATACAAAAATTAAATTAAGTAACAAATAACATACACACGCATGGCCCATGGGATGGGAGAAAAACATTACCAAATGCCAAAAGCGCCGGTAGCGAAGAGAGCGGTCCAGGTGCCCCATTGATCTTGTGGTGAAATGATGGGAAAATTCAATTGGGATCTGATAGTAGTAACAGAGCGGTTCAACTTCCTCGAGCTCTTGGGGAAATCCAGCGGTATGTATTTGTCAATGTTCGACAATAACTTCGGATGTTGAAGTATTGTATTAGCTGAATTAATTGCTGAGGCCGCTGGGACATTTTGGCGGCGAGGAGAACACGATGCCGGCGGTGGAATGTGCAAATTGTGTAGAAACCAAAGCTTTGACGCCATTTACATGCTCTCCGTGGTTAGATGCAATTGGACAGTGGGATTGTCTTCCACATAGGCTGCCAAACCACCAACTTAATAAAAGTGGCAATTATAAAATTGAACACACTAATTAAAAAAGTCTGCTGGATGGCAGGTGAGTGCACACTTATCCACTAATAGAGAAATGTATTTACTTTTAAGGCACTATTTAAAATATTTTTAGTTTTTAGCTACTATTTTAATAAATTTTACTCGCCTGGACGAAAATACCCTTCTGCTCGTAAAGTTGAGTATCAATAGCCTGTTTGGCCAAGTCTTTTTTGGGCCAAAAGTGTTTTTTTTTGCCAAAAATTGAGGTGTTTGGCTAAGCTTTTGGAAGGAAAAAAAGTGCTTTTGAGGAGAAGCAGAAGCAGTTTTGGAAAAGCAGAAAAAAGTAGCTTATCTCCGAAAGCACTTTTGAGAAAAATACACTTAGAAGCAGTTTTCAAAAGCTTGGCCAAACACTAATTACTGCTCAAAAGTGCTTTTCAAATTAATTAGCCAAACACAAACTACTTCTTACCAAAAACACTTTTTTTAAAAGTATTTTTGAGAAAAACACTTCTCAAAATAAGCTGATTTTAGAAGTTTGGCCAAACGGGCTACAAGTATCCTTAACTTATGAGCTTGTTACCGTAAGTGACTAGCTGTCCTTAATTTATGAGCTTGTAAGTCTAAGTTTATGACTACTTATCCTTAACTTTTGAACTTGTAACTCTAAATTCAGGACTACATATCCTTAACTTTTGAGCTTGAAACTCGAAGTTTAGGACTACCGGTCTATCAATAAAATGAATAAAATAATATGAGGTTTTCTCTTAAAAAATACTATTCTCTTATTCCATCAGAAAGATTAGAAAAATTATGCTTCCCGTTCCTATATAAAGAAAGTAAATCGATGACCAATATTGAAAAACATGCATTGTCATTAATTAACAAGAAAATAAAAGAATTATCATAATTGGAGGTGTAGTTCATTAACATTAATATTTATTTACAAAATAAAATAAAATAGTGTACATACAAAAATAGAAATTCAACCTTGAATAAAAAAATGTAAAATGAAGCTATAGAGTAATTGGGAATGAAGGGTTTTACCATAGAGTCACACCCATTTGTTTGATATACTATAAATAAATTCAAAGAACCATAGGTTCACTTTCTTCAAAAATGGCGAATCGGCAACAAACACAGGGTCATCTTGAAACAGTACCTCTTCTGGTGGTCATACTTATCGGTGCCCATGTCCTCGCTTTGGTACTTTCTCTTATTCTTTTTCAATTAGTAGTAATATGATGAAAATCTGTGTAGGGTAGAGTATTTGAGTCATGATATAACTATAATTATATCATAATTGAGTATATAATTATAGTTAGAGCAGATAACTCAAAATAATAGAAAAAGCCTCACTATGTCTCAACTGAATTACCACATAGCCTAACATGATTTCTAACATGAATCACAACTTAATTACTCTAACAAGTAGGAATTGCACAAATAGAACAAGATATAACAACAAAACAAGTTCGGTCATAGTCTAATAGTCAACTTGAGTCATGATTACCCCGTTGCACGTCCACACGCTCATCACCTATCATATGCGTCACCCCAATACTTCTCTAATAACATAGTTCCTAAGGTTAAATACCCTTAAATCCAAGTTTAGATATGTTACTTGCCTCGAGCAAGTCAAATTCAATATCGAGCAAGCCAAACAAAATTCTAGAAACGCCATCCCATGCGTATCAACCTCCAAACAACTCAAAACTAGCCAAAAACAACTCAAAAACATCAAATAATGGCAAAGAAAGCAAACTCAATCGATAAAGGTTCAATCTTTAATCAAAAACCCAAAGTCAATCAAAAGGTCAAAGCCGGGTCCACATCTCGGAACCCAAAAAGCTCATAAAATCCGATAACCCAGTCAATTAAGAGTCCAACCATACTAATTTCACTCAAATTCGACTCTGAATCAATGTTCAAAACTCAAAAATTTACTTTAGGAAAGTTTAGACAAAACCCCCAATTTCTCTTTAAAATTCATAATCCAAATGCCAAAAACAAAGATGGAATCATAAAAATAATCAAAACCGAGTAGAAAATACATACCCATATCCATATGGTGAAAATCGCCTCCAAAATCACCCAAATCCGAGCTCCATAGCTCCAAATATAAATAAAACAATGCAACCCTCGAATATAAAGAACATGCCCAGGCATTCGCTTTTGCGAACATACAACCACTTCTACGATAAGATTCATGCTTCTACGGAGATAACTGGAAACTCGATACTTAGCACATGCGGAAAAGAGTCCGCTTCTACAACAACGCAGGTGAGGCACAAATCACACTTTTGTGATACTTCACACTTTTGTGCCCCCAACTCATCGTGCCTGCGCCTTCACAGATGTGGCCATATTCTTGTATTTGCGGAGATTCCCAAACTCAGCCCCTTTTGCTTCTGGGGCCTCTTCTCCGTACCTGCGGACACCACACCTTTGCCTAAAGCTCTGCATGTGCGATCACACCAGGACCCCTGCCAAACCAACATAGCCAAAAATGATCCAAAACTATTCGAACCACGTCCGAAACTCAACCGAGCCCCTGGGGACCCCATCTGAATATACCAACAAGCCCCAAAACATAACACGAACCTACTTGAGGTATTAAATCACACATAAAAATATCAAAACCATGAATCGCACCTCAAATCAAACTTAATGAACTTTTGAACTTTTAACTTTCAAAACTCGTGCCGAACCATATCAAATCAAGTCGGAATGACTTCAAATTTTGCAAACAAGTCCCAAATAATATTACAAAGCTATTCCAATTCTCGAAAACCACAATCCAAACCCGATATCATCATCGTCACCTCCCGGTCAAACGTATGAACATTCCAAACCTTCAAATTTTCAACTTTCACCAAATAGTGCTGAAACCTTCTAGAAATATCCAAATTCGAATTCAGACATATGCCCAAGTCCAAAATCACCATCCGGACCTAACAAAACTATCAAAACTCTGATTCGAGATCAAATATATAAAAGTCAAATGTTTACCGTGAAAATGATAATAATAATAATTAAATTTGATTTTGTGGTTCTAAAAATATGTGATCTATTTTTATGCTAGTTGTGGGGAAATGAATGCTAAGAAAAAGATTAGAAGGCAAGATTATAGATTGAAAATGATATGATAGTCAAACCAAACAGCTGGAGATCTGGGCCTCGAGCTTGCATATATGGGGCCTCGAGGTCGAGTCAGGTGGCCGGCTTAGAGCAATCGAGGGAAGATTAACAATTATGAGAGCCATGGCGGTGACTCTTTATTATCAATGATAAACAATAAATGATGAATAATAAATAGAACACAATAAATATAAGCAATAAATGAGAGTAATAAGAGCAAGGGAATATGTTAGAGAGCAGAAAGAATGTTCTTGTGTGTTTAATATTGAGCATCAGATGTCTACATAATGACAAGGATATCTTTTATATATGAGGGGGAATTCCAACATAGTACAAATGCATTTATTACAAAGATATGGGGCTGGTGCAGTCTTTTTATGCTATGGTACAGATTTGGACTAGCTTAATAGACTTTGTGAGCTCTAGTCACGTGCCTTGGGAACCTCACACCGATCCACAGATGCCCCGATTTACCCTGCCTCGAGGCCGACCATTGCTCGAAGTAGATTACTGAGAACCATCGAGGTTGGAACCCCGAGCTAAGCTTCGAGCCTTCGGGAGGTAGTTTCTTCAAGATGCCTTAGTGACCGTAAAATCGGACCGCCGATTTTTTTCATATACAGATAGTCCCCGCGTTTCTTAGAGTGAAACGATAAGAAATGACTTTGATATCCATCTCTCCGTGTTTCCCACGATGATGTCATACTTATGACGTAAGCCTTTGTAATAACTGAGGTGTCCCATCGATTTATCTTTCCAGAATCATTCAATGCACTGCCGACTCTTACTCTCCAAAGCGATAATATTGTCGCCGGTCCAATTCAAAAATGCATTGATTGCGCCTGTCGGTATGTCTTTCAAAGACATTGATGGTGCTGTTGGTTACGTTTTCCAAAGAGTATTGATTGCGCCTGTCGGTTGCACTACCCTTTCTCTATAAATGAAAGCTTTCTCAAATCAAACTTCGCTCAGTTATTCTTCACCATTTTCCAACTCCTTTCTTGTCATCGCTCCCATCTAAATTTATTTTTCATGCCTAACGCTTGTGGCCATAGGGTCATGCGGCATTGTTTTCAGTGGCTACATAATGGCCCTTTCTCAAAGATGTCTTTCTCCGAGCGGGATTGCACTAACTTCTTATTGTTGTTATTGTTACCACTGCTGTTGTCGTTGGCCTGAGGCAACGAGATAGGGGTGTCGGTTTCTTCTGACTCGAGAAGATGTTTGGATACTACACTACTGCTCAAGAGGATGCTCGAACTTTACACTACTGCTCACCTCCTACTCTGGCATGGTGTGGCACTTCATCCGTTTTGCTTTCCGTGGGGTGAAGTGGAACTACTGGCCGCTAACTTGCATGGCTCAATGTCCCAAGAAGTGGACTCAAAGTATCCGTGCAGGTAAGGCCAACGCTTGCCAAGTCTTCTATCGGGCCATGATTTCCATGGCCTGGTAAAAGCTTTTGCTCTTTGGCGGGCTACGACTTTTTCTTCATCTTTTTCTGCTTCTTCCGCATCACTTTCCTCTTCTTCATATTCTCCCTTGAAGATGCTATTTTGGAAGATCGAGACAAGGCCACCGAGGAAACAGTGCTCGAAGATATTGCCGACGAGGATGCACCCTCGAGAATAGATTAGACTCTTGGCTTCTATTATATATATACTTTTTGCTTCTTTGTTTTTGTGTAAGGCCCCTTGTGGACTTTTGTAATCATATGTAAGGACCCTTAGTGGGCTTTTGTAATCATGTGCTTATGAATACAAAGATGTTTCTTCAATTTGTCAAAGAATCTGAATGCATGACTCCATCGAGTGGTGCAAATATCGAGCCCGGATGCAAGTATTTCTTCTGGCTCTTAATTGATTAACACGATTCCCCGTAGAACCCTTTGTTGTTCCCTGGATCAAGCCCGGATTGGATTGATAAACTCGGGTC